TTAGCGAAGATTCGTAGTTCATACTCAACCATTGTATTTACTCTCAATCAGTTTATAACTTAAAGGGACAGATTTTGAGGGACATATAATTAAATCTATAATACACTTAGCTCTATTTTGGAACAGCTTTACATTTTGTTAGGTTAGGTTAGGTTAGGTTAAGGATTTATTCATTAAATTACTCTCGTCAAATTATATTGTTTAATGGATTTTTGAAAATAAAACAAGCTCCTACATCGAGTCAATTTGCGCTTTAAAGTCGTCCCTGAAAACATTAACAATGTAATTTATACAAGCTACTGATATCGTATAAAAAAATAATAGTGATGTTATAAACTCTGTATATCTTATTTTATTTTTAATACCATTGACTCTTCCTGATAATTGGAATCACAATTGGGATTGGGTACCCGTTGAACGCACAGGATACAGATAGTGTATAAGCACCCATTTCTTTCCAAATTAACCAATCACCTATTTGAAGCTCAGGCAACATCACATTCTTGATAATTAAATCATATGAGTCGGCGGTCGGTCCCCATATGTTTGATAGGAATTTCTCTTCGCTTATTGGCTACGACGATAGATTAATAATTGCTTCTTATTAATTATGAATCTCTTTTGTACATGTGGGAATATAAGAAAACAAAATATATATAAGATTACTTCGAAAAGTAATTGTGGTACTCTAGCTCGCAAGCCTAACAGTTCTTCTATAAAAGAATGGTATACTCCACAGTTCATGTAATACATTCTCATCATTACTCCGTCCTTCGAAGTGATTTTCTTGGAATGTAAATACGAGGCTAAAGTGAAGCTGGAAGTTACGTAGTACCTTCCCGGTTCGCTGATAATCCTTATGCTAGGATCGAGATCCTGTATTGCGTCATTGATAATACTGACGAACTGCGGAAATTACCATAAATATATATATTAACAAAAAAAAAATATGTGGATAAAGAGATGTCGCAAAACTTTATTTAGCGTTACAAGCCCATTTATAATCGATTTTTTATTACTAGAAACTTGGAAAACCTCATTTTGTTTGATTTTTTTATGTCTGTATAATAGTGCTTTCATGTCTAACGTTTTAATCTAACTTCTAATAAAAGTAAGATGATGGTTATCGGATAGTAACTATAGGTATGTGTATGTTTACATACCTTGTCAACGTCCATTCCACTTTCACCCGGGAATCCACCACCGATGTCGATCAACTGCACCTTGTCGCATCCGATTGCCTTGGAGACGGTAATTAATTGTTTGCACAATGCGATCCCTCTGGCGTAAGCCTCGAGCTCCTCGCACGGGCTACCGACATGGAAGCTAAAGCCGTGTAAATTCAAACCGAGATCTTTCGTGAGCTGTATCAAGCGCACGGTTTCATCGTCCGGTTCGGAACCGAATTTCTGTCCCAATGGTACAAACACTGGCATGTTTTTCGAGTCGCAACGTATACGTATGACTACCCTGTCGCACGGAGACATTCGGTAAATTTGTAAATTGATGAAATCAGGTTGCCAATATATCCCATTGTATTGCTCTACTCACTTAGCTTCAGGGAAGATATACTTGATCTTGTACAGCTCGATTTCACTATCAACCGTCATTTGCTTGACGTTCATTCTCTTAGCATATTCTATATGAGACGGATACTTAGTAGGGTGCGCGAAAATAATTCGGTCTCCGTGTACTCCGTGTTGCATTACTTGTTCTATTTCTTTCTGTTGAGGAGAGAGAGCATAATTATTTTGAAATATTTTTGTTAAGTGGTTAAAGAAAGATTTGAAAATTTACTTTAGATGCGCAATCGAAACATGCATTTAAAGCTGCCAGAACTTTAATCACCGTTGGATCCGGATTAACTTTAATTGCTAGGGATGAAAATAAAATTGGATAGTATTAAAA